CAGCCACCCTGGGGCGCACTGACAGAGGCGATGCAACTAGAGGCGGGCGGATCGATATCAGTACCAGTGCTAGTATTGGTATGGGATCAATACTAAGTTATACTCTGTTTCTACCCTCTAAATTCCGTGTGTAGTTCACTGAACATTTTACATTTTTTTGTTGTTTGTTCCCAGAAATAAAAAAAGAACTCAAACGTGCACTATGAATAATATCTTAAACTTTTTTCGTGTTGACTGTTTTATTTATAACCTATACCACATTTAAAGAACAGAAGCTGACAAAAAAAAAGTTTCAAAATACATAAAAATCTGAAAGTTGAATTTTGTTGTGTTAAGTAATAATTGTGGAAAGTAAACATCACAATGGTCATTAAAATTGATGATGATTAATCTCATAAATCATGCTTTCCCCTGAATAAGCTTATTTTATAGGTTAAAAGTATCGGTACTAGTATTGGCAACACTGCTGGGGAATGCGCAAATAAATATCACCAGTTAACCTAAAACCGAGTTAAACTGGAACGCCATTAACACCGGTGTGTGGACGGGTATCCTCCGACCTGCACAGTTCAGGGTCTCGTTATCATGTGGAGGGCAGAGGCGAGCAGGCGAGAAAGCTGCTCGCAGACGTCCTGCCGCCTGCCTACAGCATTGGTCACGTGATAGTCACAGTCATGCCTTCTGATTGGTCCAGAATCTAACCAATCATCCTGCGATGCGGAAATAACGTCTCCAAAACGACAACAACGTAGCGGGAAATTGAAAGGAGAAGCAGCTGGTAACAGTGCACAGTTTCTGCAACTTTAGGTTCTAAGTTAATTTACAGTTTAAAATTTAAGCTTTAAGCGATGTTTCCTGGTTTTCTCTGTGGACGCGGTATGTTGCCGCTAGTTTAGTGTTTCCTCGTAAAATCTCGTAAAAGTATTGACTGCAATGAACGCTGTATTTATTTTGACATGTTGCTCAAAAAGGCTGTAAATCTGTGACTTAGCAGTTCCCTGTCCTCTCTATCAGCCATTCCAACTTCTTGTTTCGCAGGAGTCACCGATGCAAGTCATCTGCCTCCATCCTCCTCCTCTGTCATACCAACCCTCTACAGATCCACTTACACTACATCCATGAATCTCCTCTGTAGTCTTCCTCTTTTCCTCCTGCCTGGCAGCTCCATCTTCAACATCCTTTGTCCAGTATATCCACCGTCCCACCTCTGCACATGTCCAAACCATCTCAGCCTGAGCTGTTTTCAGTCTTTCTATCAGTCCCACCATCTCCAAATTATACATCACAGCAGATCTCTCTACCATCTTGTAAACCTCCCTGTCACTCTTGTTGTTATCCTCCTGTCACAAATCACCCTGACACTTGTCTCCACCCGCTCCGCCCTGCCTGTGCTCTCTTTCACGTGCACACTGTCTGTTGCTTTCGATGGACGATCTCGGGGTATCCAGTGGAGCAGAACCACTGGATCTTCATAGTGCAGGGTTTTGGGTGACAACGTGTCCCTATATATGTGGGACTGCACTTGTCCCCCTATGCACATCTGGAGAAAATAACCCACATTTTGATTGGCTCTGCAGAACATGCACTGTTCCAAAATCTGCCTTTTACCCAGTGTATATGAAGGAAAACTTTTTTTTTATAATACTCAGGAAAAGATTGTCTAATGCCATACTCATCAGGGAAAGTTACACGTCACTAAAATGTCACAAGCTAGCAGATTATGTTCAGTATGATGGAAAGAACTGCAGAAAAATGAAGCAGCAGTATGTACTGAAAAATGGAGTAATGAAATAACAGTGAAATAAAAGGAATTTATTGGAATATATAAATAATGTTGCGTGAGACCATAAGAACAAGCTTAAGCTTCCTTTTATCCTCATTGTGTTTACCTAGCAAGAGAGTTGGAAGTGTGTTAGATTTGACCTCTGTATGCTACATAAATCTGGGAAAACGTACGTTTTAGTGTACTGTACAAACATTTCAGGCGACCTCTCAACTATGTTGACATGTCCCCCTTCACCCCAGTCACACACAGCGTTTGCCCTACATTTAGTTTGTTGGGATCTGGTCAAACTTGTAGGTGGCAAAGTTACAGAAGATGCCTTTAACTATTCTCTGGTCATCATAATAAGACGATACAGAAGGAGAGCAGAAAATAATTCATTCCTAATTTCTGTCTAGAAGCAGCACACAAAGAGGTTCCAAAGAAATCTGAGTAGTAAAATAAAAAACAGTTCTGTTAATCGGAGTGGTATTTTTCAAGATTTTTTCTTTTTTAATCAAATGGTCAAAAACAAAACGTAAAAAACATGAAGTTAACTTTTTATTACCGTAGTTTACATTCACCCGAAGGCTCACCCCGCCTCCACTTGCAGCATCATTTCAGACGTAGTACAGAAGCTGCAGGCGCTTTCTCCTGATGCACCAAACTTTATAATGGGGGACTTTAACCATGTCTCCCTTAAATCAACTTTGGGCAATCTGTATCAATATGTAT